CTCGCTCTCTCTCTCTCTCTCTCTCTCTCTCTCTCTCTCTCTCAGACTTTAACTAACTGACCCGTACCTGTTTTAATATGACCTGGTAAAGTGTGTGGTGTGTGTGTGTGTGTGTGTGTGTGTGTGTGTGTGTGTGTGTGTGTGTGTGTGTGTGTGTGTGTGTGTGTGTGTGTGTGTGTGTGTGTGCGTGTGTGTGTGTGTCAGTAGTTATAAGACCACAGTATGTGTCCAAATGAGATTAAGTACCTGATAAGAGAGTGCTTTATGACCCTCATAAACCTTAGCCCCGCCTCCAAATCCCTTTGATGTGGCACCTGTCACTCTGACATCTGACCTTTGACCCTCTTATCTTTTATGACTTGTATGTTTAGTGTTTTATTTCCTCCTCATAAAGGATGTTGCTCAATAGGGGGTGATAAGACTTTATTGCCCCTTTGATGTGAAACCTGTTAAGAGTGTCTTAGTAGTATATATAGTAAATATGCGGATACAACCCGTTTTCGTCCTCGTGGGGCACCAGCCGGAGTGTCTTAGTAGGTCATTATTTGTGAATGATAAAACCAGATATAGTTCATGCTGATAGTATGACTTGTTTAGCTGTTTTTTATTGTTGTATAGCCCCTCATAAGGATATTGCTCAATAGGGGGTGATAAGACTATGACCCCTTTGATGTTTTCACCTGTTGTAGTGTCCCCCTAGGAAGCTATTATAGTCATTGATGATAGTATGACTTGTTTCGGTCACCTGTTGGGGTTGGAATGCCCTCTATAAGGTAATGTTCTTTAATAAGGGGTAAATATTACTTAGTGACTCTTTTATGGTAATATAAGGTCATATGACATTTAAGTGGGTCTTTTGAAGTTGTATAGGTAGGTAATAATAATTTGATCCTTTGGTGTTAATATGGGGTTAAAAATGTAATCTTTGCTAGTTTATTTAAAAAGAAGAAATAATTTATCCCCCTTCTTTTTTTTCTTCCTCCACCCATAATGTCCCTCCCACCCTGCACCTACATCAGAGCCCTAACCCTCACACACACACACACACACACACACACACACGCACGCACGCACACGCACACACACACACACACACACACACCACACACACACACACACACACACACACACACACACACAACACACACACACACACACACAACCCAATGTTATATGTTGTTAGAAAACACTCGTGACCACCAGAACATAAAAACACAATGTACTATTTTCACTACAATTACTATAGAGTGGTGAAGTCCCTCCCCTTCCGGTGGACCTCCATGGGACCTTATTTCGGAAAAATTATGTATTGAAGTCAATGGAGAGAGAAAGATTATCTTTCGATCCCGTTTGAATTGTGCCACGAATTACACATATGATGTTTGTCAATTTAAAAGATAATTTTGCAAGTAAAAAAAAAAAAATGTGTGGTAAAACTGTGAAGTAACACATTTGTTTGTGTGAAACGCTCAATGAACTACATCTCTGGTCAACAACACACGTCACCAAGATGGCCGTCACTACTGTCTTGTCAACAAAACGATTGACTACCCTCACTATCACCCTCTCACCCTGACCCTCACCCTGACCCTCACCCTGACCCTCACCCTCACTATCACCACAATGAAACACGTCCTGAAGAATGTCATGCAAAGCTGCCTGCCTGCCTTCCTTTGATTCTCTCTGAACTGCCTGGTCGTTTTAATGTTTAATGTCAACCATTTGTGCAGATAGCATGAAGTAGAGAAGATCGCTAGCGTTAGCGTTAGCATTTCTCCCCCGGGCTTAAATTGTGTATTATAGAATGATCACACCGGTGACAGTACTATTCAAAGGGTTCACGAAATATGACTACTACTCTTACTGTTTAACATTTTGGGTTACTTAATGTTACTTCATGTTAAGGCTGATAAAAATGACAAGGCTGTAATGCTAACTAACGTGCTAGCTACTAGCTAGCTTGATCCAGACACTCCTGGTCCTTTCATCAGACGGGAAGCGAAAGAACGAGCAAGACCCATTGCTGGTATGATAACAACCTGGTACTAAGCACACAGGCATCTTGTGAAAGTTATCTTATCTTAGCCAGCGCCATATAGATAGATTATATCTATATGGCGCTGATCTTAGCTATCTCTTAGTGGAGGAAAACAATTGTGACATCACTTACGCGACTCTGGGATTTGTAGTCTTTCTAGTTACGTATTTTTCATAGTCTTATATTTCAACAGTTTTACGACAAACTGTGACTTTTTTGACATGGAAATTATTTTTTAAGATTGACAAACATCATATGTGTAATTCATGGCACAATTCAAACGGGATCGAAAGATAAGTTTTCTCTCCCCATTGACTTCAATGCATAATTTTTCCGAAATAAGGTCCCATAGGGCGGAAGTAGATGGGCGTGACTTCGCCACTCTATTGTACTGATTACTACTATTTTCTCTCTCTGTCTCTGTCTCTGTCTATCTCTCTCTCTCTCTCTCTCTCTCTCTCTCTCTCTCTCTCTCTCTCTCTCTCTCTCTCTCTCTCTCTCTCTCTCTCTCTCTCTCTCTCTCTCTCTCTCTCTCTCTCCAGATAAGCTGTTTCAGCCCAACATCTCTGTGTCCTCCTCCATGTATGGGGTCTCCGGGGCCCAGCAGCAGGGGTTCCAGGTGTTCAGAGGCTCCACCTTCACCATCAGTTGCTCCATCCAGCCTCAGTACCCAGGAGGCTCCTTCCTGCTCAGCTCCTCCACTCACAACTACACCCAGCCAGCTGTCAATCACTCTGCCCACTTCCTGTTCCCGGCTGCAGAGCCCGCCCACCAGGGAAACTACAGCTGTGTTTATCACGTCTCTGCTTTTTCTCAGGACTTCTCCTCTGAGAGCCGTCTGCTCTCCGTCACCGTCACAGGTGAGCTGTTAGAGTTTACTGTAGGACAGAGCGTGATGCTCCCCAGGAGAACGCTGGTGAGGACTGAGTGTTTTACTGTGAGCCCTGAAGCAGTCACACCCTTACATCACATGTAGCTTTCCAGAGCAACGTACAATAAGTGCAATGAACCGTGAAGACATGAATCCAGAACACACATTCTCCAGTCAGCTGTACTTTACATTGGAGTATTGCCATGAGTACTGAGTGTTTAACAGATACAGCTAGCAGCTTCTCCCTACAGTCCTACTGTCTGGTATGAACAGGGAAAAGGGTTGGGGTTGAATGAAGATCTTAAGAAGATGTAGTTTATTGTAATATAACTGTAGAGAGGAGTCTCCATGCTGAAGTGGGTTCAGGTCTCTGTGTGTTTGCTGACTCTTGATGTGATTCTGTCCAGGTGTTCGATCAGATCCAAAACCTTTTATCATCCGAGCCGTCGTCCTGCCACTGATTCAGCTGCTGGTGACCATCGGCCTTTACTTCTACTGTAAGGTACGGAAACATGTTGTTGTTGTTCCACTGACTGAATGATGAGGGACTGAAACATGTTGTTGTTCCACTGACTGAATGATGAGGTACTGAAACATGTTGTTGTTCCACCACTGACTGAATGATGAGGTACTGAAACATGTTGTTGTTCCACTGACTGAATGATGAGGTACTGAAACATGTTGTTGTTCCACCACTGACTGAATGATGAGGTACTGAAACATGTTGTTGTTCCACTGACTGAATGATGAGGTACTGAAACATGTTGTTGTTCCACTGACTGAATGATGAGGTACTGAAACATGTTGTTGTTCCACTGACTGAATGATAAGGGACTGAAACATGTTGTTGTTCCACTGACTGAATGATGAGGTACTGAAACATGTTGTTGTTCCACTGACTGAATGATGAGGTACTGAAACATGTTGTTGTTCCACCACTGACTGAATGATGAGGTACTGAAACATGTTGTTGTTCCACTGACTGAATGATAAGGGACTGAAACATGTTGTTGTTCCACCACTGACTGAATGATGAGGTACTGAAACATGTTGTTGTTGTTCCACCACTGACTGAATGAAACAGTGGGTGTTTCTCAATCGCGAGTACGCTTGCTTGGTAGCACATGTCTGCCGAGCATCTTGCTTCAGAAGCGAGTCAAGAATACTTCCTGGCATTCGGAAAACGAAGAGTGTAACACGCTAGCAAGTGTGCAGGTGTGGGTCATATGAGAGGCCCCGCCTTACATCTTCCGCCACAGATTTGGGGAAATTGGTCCGTGCGCAAAGCATTGTGGGGATTTTAAGACCGCGGAGTCTACTCATGTGCAGCCTCGATATTTCTCCAAACGGAGTACGCCGGGCTCGGTAGATTTCCAAGTATGCTGGAGATTGGAACAGTACTTTGGCGGCACTCGATGACGTAGTATGCTTGAAGTAGTGGCTCTGAAGCAGCTTTACTCGAGATTGAGAAACACCCAGTGTGTGTTATTGAACAGGAGTGATGCAGGAAGTCTCACTGTGTGCTGTCATGTCTCTCCAGGCCACCAGGGGGCGGAGGCCGAGCCGACAGGAGGACATTGAGCTGGATTATGATGACCTGGGTGTTCCTGCTGAAGAGGAAGGAGCTCAGGGAGCAGAGTAGCAGCTCCAAGGAGCTCCTCTCACACACATGGGTTTATCAGCTCTTAGAGCTTTTATCCAACGTTAGAAAATATAGCTTTCACTCTGAAAGTCACCAGCAATGTGTGAGTGCCTCATGTTTCCTGACTTCCTGTCAGCTCCAAGCCCATTGGTTCCCACTGAAGATGAAGATCTTTAAAACACATCTCAAGTTAGTTTTATTATGAAAAGTCAATGCAGTCGGTGCAGTTTGAAACCACAGACACACCAACCCAGGCCGCTCAGGAACTAAGTTGGCCAATTAATGCCATATATTAATGTTCAAATATCCTCTAGAAACAGTGTTACAATACCCAGTGTTTGAATCTAATGTAGTGATTCCTGAGATAACAGGAGGAACGCGTTACAGCGCCACCTAGTGTTGGATTTGTAGACCTCGAGCACAACAAGTTTTTTTTTTATATTCAATCAACAAATAAGAAAAAGTACAGTTTTTAAAATGTTACGTTTTTCACAACAATTCATCTGATCAGCGAGATAGGATATTTGATCCCCTTGTGGGTCACATGGGTCATTTCAGCAGCAGGACCAGATTTAGCTGATCAATATACAAATAGGAATTGATCAAAAGTAAATAGTCCAAACACTTCTTATTTCAAAACAATGCTGATGTTTTATTGAAAAATGTGATTTCAGAAGAATGTAGCTTGATTTTGGTCTGAAGAGATTGTTTGTAAAAAAAAAGAAGCTTTTCCGAGAAATCCGATTATATTTGTAATTTGCCAAAATGTATAAAATTGTAACTTTTCTTTAATGTTCTTATTTCACATATACTGAGCTCAGTTTGTAATCATTTTCAATCATTCAGGATTTTTCTTACGTTATATCATTTCTTATGGTATTGTCTGTATGTTGTAGTAATTTAGCTGTTTTGAAGAACTCCACCGATTGGAGAGCATTCCCAAATTCATAAGATATTAAATACTAACATGTTGTAATTAAAAATGTACATAATTTTGTAGAAGTGTCCTTTTTAAAAGGTAATGTGCTTTGTTATGTGATCAAGATGTGCTTGTTTTTGTATTATTGAGGATTGAACTTATTTCACAAGATGATCAATAATATGTAATCATTACTTTTTGGACTTTTATGAAACATTTTAATTTCTTTAGAATTTCACTTTTTTCAAAGAATTCAGATTATTTTTGTGATTTAGGATTTTCCCAAATTCAGGAGACTAATTATTTCGTACTTAAAATGTTAACATTGTCCGTAAACAAGTGTTGTGATTTTGGAACCGAGAAATGTTTTTGCTTCATAAGAATTTTGATTGATTTTGTTGTTTTTTGCATTTCTGAAGAATTTAGCTTTCGCCAATTAAGGTTTTTAGATGTGGCTTTTTTTAACAAATGTTGTATTTGAAGATTTCTCATGATTTTGCTTAAATCTTGCATCACAAATTCTACTTGATTCTATAATGAAGAGTTTTGACCGATTTGGTTTCCATGAGATTACGATGAAGCAAATCGTCTTAAATTCTGAACACAGCAGAATCCTCCAGAAACCATGACGATGTTCAACATCACTGTAATAAATGCTGTCATTTGCTATGTACCAAAAAAATAATAAAACTTCTTTAATAATCCATGAAACTCTGAGAGTGAGCTGATTTCAAAAGTGTTTCTCCTGGTTGGGAAATGATGTGTTTGCTTTGTTTCTGTGTGAGAACTATTTATCTCTCAATATTGTCTGTAAAAAACGTGGTGAAAGTGATTCTTTCAGTGAGACAACAGAGCAAGCTTCTACAGTTGCACTACGTTTTAATAACAGTTAAATATTATTTTGATAATAAAATACATTGATGTTATGAGATGTTAAGACCAGTACAGGACATTCACTAAGAAACTACTTTTATTGTGAAGTCAGCTGATCGGATGCCCCTATTTCCACATCTACACTCCATCAGCTGATTATTTCTATTTTGAATCTCTATTTCTTTATGAGCTTCATAACATGTACCTTGTACCGCAGAGTTTGCAACGCAAATAAATGGGGCCAATCTTCAGTCAGATGTGAATGTGTAATCTAACATTTTCAGTAAGAATAATGGACAAAAGGAGTGCAAATACAAATTCAATTTATTGAAATCTGAACCAAAAGTTAATCAAACATGTTTTAAATAAAAAGCACATATGGACAGAAGGTGTAAACCTATTAAATGTATAAGTAAACACATTTAGTCAAATAAAGTGACAGACTAGGCCTGATCAGGTGGTATCAGCTATGCATGGGCTCCTCCATCAGGCCTGGTCCTCCTCGCTGAGGAAAGACCCTCAGTCCTCTCCAAACCAACAGACTGGACGTCCATCACACGGAGGTTTCTCCCTGAAGTCTCTGCAGCTCTCTGGACACCACGCTGTCTCAATCCGTCCACACTGAATATGAGAGGGGAAAAATGAAAATAATAAATGCTTTAGACAATAAGAAATATAAAGTTGACTGTTGAGTTGCTCAGTTTTTTTAGATTGTCAATACTATTACTGTATAACTAATATCCCAGGTTAAGAGGCACCTTCAAATAAAGATTGGTCTTTAAATACATTTTGTCTTTTGAATTGTTTGTCTAAAGTCAAGGATCTAGAACTGGTACTTATAGTTTTAATGATACAGTCTGGTTATAATGCTGTTTGGAGGAAGCCTCACAGGTAAGAGCACTAACTAGCTACCATCACATGTACCTTAGCTTGACTTAAATGTATTAAACGTATAATTAAGTGATAGCAAAATATAAATAACTAATGTCATGCAAACATATTAATATTTGCTTGATTCCAGTGTTGCATTTAGCATACAAACGTTAAAGGTGGGGTAGGTAAGTTTGAGAAACCGGCTCGAGATACACTTTTTGTTATATTCCATGGAATGCTCTTAACATCCCGATAGCAATGAATATCTGAAGTGCTTTGACAAAAAATCCATAAAAAACTTTCATCTGTGGAAGCTGTAGTACTGTAAAAAGCACAACCAATCATTTTAGGTAGGAATACTCTGTTACAGTAAAAGTAGAAGTACTCAGATCTTGTACTTGAGTAAAAGTAAAAGTACTCAGGTATTGTACTCTAGTAGAAGTCGAAGTACTCAGATCTTGTACTTGAGTAAAAGTAGAAGTACTCAGATCTTGTACTTGAGTAAAAGTAGAAGTACCAGAGTGTAGGAATACTCTGTTTCAGTAAAAGTACTGCATTCAAAATGTTCCTCAAGTAAAAGTAGAAAAGTATTCTCATCAAAATATAGTGAAAGTAGCGACAGTAAAAGTAGTCATTGTGCAGATTGGTCCATTTCAGAATAATATATATGATATGTTTTATAATGATTGATCATGAAAGTGTTCTCAAAGCTGGTAAAGGTGCAGCTAGTTTGAATGACTTTGTATACTGCAGGGTAGCTTGTGGATTTACTCCAGGTGGAACTAAAGTCTGATTTAACACTTGATCATATTTCAGAATATGTTAATCAGTTCTAAAAATCATTCCAAAATGTTTGAACGACATTAAAGAAAATGTGTTTTAATATTTCAGCTCCAAAGACTAAGCAGTACTCGACACAAACACACGGGGGCGCTGTCGATTTGCTTTTTTTGTACAGTTAATTTCAGAGGTGTAAAGTAACTAAGTACATTTACTCAAGTACTGTGCTTTAGTATAATGTAGTTACTTGTACTTTAATTTCTTGCTACTTCATACTTCTACTCCACTACAGTTCAGAGGTAAATGGTTTACTTTTACAGACAAAAACGAATAGTACTCACAAAATCACAGAGAAAGAAACACAAGAAGAAGAAGGCTCAAACTGACCACAAAGTGTCACCAAAAACCACAGATAGACACAAAACTGCTACAAGGTGCCATCTCACCATAAAAGGCACTTAATACTACAAATAGAAACACAAAATACTACAAAAAGACACTAAATACTACAACGAGACACTTAATGACTACAAACAGACAAAAACAAATGCAAGTACACACAAAGAGACACTAATATACTAGAAAGAGACACGACTAATATACTACCAAAAGACACTAAATGACTCCAAAGAGACCCTAATTTACTTCAAACAGACAAACCAATACAAGTCCACACAAAGAGACTCTAAATCACTATTAATAATGACATTTTATTTAAACGATGTCTTAGTTTCGACCATATTTCGCGACTGTAGGTAAATCGCGCCGTGTCCGACAGCCCGTGAACGCACCGCCGCGGCGCTACTTCCGGTGAGTGGAGCTCAGTCAGCTGTCACTGGATCTGAAGCACAGAAACAAACAGGACGTGAAATGTCGAGTTTTAACGAAAAGTTCAGTTCCTACACGATGAGCCAACTCAACGAAGTCCTGGAGGACGACGAGAAGCTCAGCGACATGGTGCAGGACATGGAGGAGGTTCGTGTTTCATCTCTCTTTGTTGGGTCTCTCGCACACACACACACACACGCAAACACACACACGCAAACACACACACACACACACACACACACACACACGCACACACACACACACACATGCACACACGGAAATGGCTGCTTCGGTTTACATTGAGGGTGAGATTAACTGAGAGGATGTGTGTGATGAGAGAAATGTAACATGTGTGAGACATCGTTCACCTTGGGACGATACAAAGACACACTATGAAGAGATACTACATTACTATAAAAGAGACAGCAATTGAATACAAAGAGACAAAACCAGAGACTAATAATCACAAATCTGCTACAACAAGGTGTACAATTACCACAAATAGAGACAACATGATTCAAACAGTCACTAAATACGACAAAGAAACACTAAATTACAAAAAAATACACAAAATACTACCAATAGACAGTTAATTACTACGAACAGACGCCAACATACTGCAAAAAGACACTACATTAGTTCAAACAGACACAAAATTACCACAAATAGACACTAAACACTACAAATAGACACTAAACACTACAAATAGACACTTAGTTACTACAAAGAGACACGCATTGAATACAAAGACTCAAAACCAGACACTGATAATCCAAATCTGCTACAAGAAGGTGTTCAATTACCACGAATAGACACAAAATGATACAAACAGTCACTAAATACGACAAAGAAACACTAAATTACAAGAAAAATACACTTAATACTACCAAAAGACAGTCAATTACTTTAAAGAGACACCAAATTACTACATAGAGACATTAAATACTACAAAGAGACACACATTGAATACAAAGACTCAAAACCAGACACTGATAATCCAAATCTGCTACAAGAAGGTGTTCAATTACCATGAATAACACACATATATATATATATATATATATATATATATATATATATATATATATCATTCCAATAACTTGTATATAGACTCATACTGCACTATTCCACATCATAACTTTATTTCATTTTTATAACTATTATTATTTTTGTATTGCTCATGCTCTTATTGTTATTATGTTATGTTATTATGTTGCATTGTTGGAGAAGCCTGTGACATAAGATTTTCAACTGCATAATTACTCTGTAGCTATGTCAGATTGACAATAAAGAACCTTGAACCTTGAACCTTGAATAGAGACTAAATTATACAAACAGTCACTAAATACGACAAAGAATCTCAAAATTACAAGAAAAATACACTTAACACTACCAAAAGACAGTTAATTACCACAAAAAGACACTCAGTTACTACCAAAAGACACTCAGTTACTACACATAGACATTAAATGCTACAAAGAGACACTAAATTACTACAAAGACACACTTATGGTGCATTTCCAATACAGGGCCTCGCTCGGCCTCACTCGGTATGGCTAGGCCTCGTTAGGACTGGCTCACTTTATGCTGCATTTCCATTACAGTTTAGGAACTGGGGTAGTATCTATAGTAACGCAGTGTAGGCGGAGCCGTGACGTCATCTTCAATGAGAACCCCAGAAAAACAACACAGCCGTTAGCTGTTAGCACTCAGAGCTCACAGCTCCTCATATCTGTTCAGAAACTGGACAAAAGTTAAACAAGTACAAACCACAGACTGCCTGTGTCATGGCGAATACAGTCGCTGCTTTATTTATGTCTGTAGGCCGTTGTTGTGAGTGTGGACGGTCGGAGCATATACTGCGTTAGCTTAGCCGATCTCCATTTAGAAAACACGCATTTTAAAAGGTTTTTCGCCTGCCGTCTGTCTGCAGACTTGTCAAAGCATTAATTCATGGTTTTTACTAACCGGTATCAGTATGTTGTTACTTCATCATTTTGAAACGTGTATTACAATTAAATCACGGTCAAATATGTCCATCTTGTTGTAGTTGTAGCCCCCTTGCCTCTCACTAGTTTAACATATTCAGCCCGACTCAGCCTGGTTGTTGGCCCGGAAAGAACCTCGATTTTATGGGGCCAGAAAAACGGTGAAATAGTACCCGCTAGCCGGTACTACGCCAAGTGGAAACGCAACCAAAAACGGGCCGGGCTCGGCACACTTAAAGCGAGCTCCGGCTGTAGTGGAAATGCGCCATAAATGACTACAAAGACACACTAGATGACTACATATAGACACTTACTACCAAAAGACACTAAAGTACTCTTAAAAAGACAATCATTTACTACAAACAGTCAAAAATGAATACAGATAATCACAAAATCACAGATAAATAAACTCAAGAAGGCTCAAACTGACCACAAAGTGACACTAAATTACTAAAACGATATTCAAAATGATTACACAGAAATGAAACACGATGACACAGGATGTCACACAGAGGCACCTCATGAATACTAAAGCTTGTTTTTATTCAGTATTTCTGTCTTTACAAAACTGCTTTTAAATGGCTTTATGAATGCTGGGTCATTTTGAGAAAGTATTGACATTGTAAGCTTTGGCCTAAATTCAACCTCACGATAAACTCAAATGAAGAGCGTAGAGCGAGGAAAACATAACTTAACTCTGTTATCTGTAAATATGAATTATTAACCAGGAATCACAAGTATTACTCGTGTGTTTATAACTACAGTGATGTCTCATCCATTGCTGCTTAATAAAGACACATTATTATATATTCACACAAAAAGACACTAAATACTACAAAAAAACACAAATTTACTACAAAAATACACTAAATACAAAAAAACACAAATTTACTACAAAAAGACACGAAATACTACAAAAAAACACATTTACTACAAAAAAACACTAAATACTACAAAAAAACACATTTACTACAAAAAAACACAAATTTAATTTAATTCCGAGGCACACGTTCATATGATCATTATAGTTATAAAAAAAATAAGAAAATAAATGAAAAACAGGTTTGAAATACTATATGACAGAAAAACAAGAATAAAGTTTAAAATGGTGATTTGTAAAATATCCATAAAGAAAAAGTAAATCTGTTTACAGTTCTGTTTCATATGGTGTTGAGAGAGGTATCCATAGATCTCTTCATGTTGCTCTCAAAGTGCACAAGTTCAACTGTAGCGCGCGGTACCTTAATGGGGAATCCTAAATGTTTGAGCACCCTCTATGAAACGTCAAGCTACGCCACAGCACCCCCAAAATAAATCTCTGGCGCCGCCACTGAGCCTGCAACCCCGTTCTGAAGAAGTCTGCAGTGCAACACAGGCTCATTGCAGACACTGATGATAAGACACACTTTGCCAAATATCAGCATTTTCTTTCTTTTCATTTGTTTGCACAGATTGCAAAGTGGCAAAGTATTATAACTTATTGTTCTAGCAAAGGGATTGCACAATTGTATTATGTATTTATTTTTTTGAGCACACAGACTTATGGAGCATTGTTTTATTATCACTGTTCAAGCAAAGTGATTTTTATTAAAGGAATGCTCACGTTCATATTTTGTTGTATTTTAATAAATGTTAAAGTGGACCTATCATGCTATATTTGAATAATATAGTGTAGGACCATACCTATATAAGGCATATTTATACTTTTCTTTTTTCAAAATACCAAACAGATCATGCATTTTAGCCATGCCTCATTTTGCTCAATTTGACATTTTTTAGCTCTGTTTTAGCAAGGGCAGATTCAGTGAGAACAGCACCATCTACTGGCCTGGCATATGTACTACAGCGTCTCCAGCGCTTTCGAACGGCAATGGCCGTGGCTGTCTCCTCCTGATTGGTGGAGTTGGCCCAATAGCCGTAGCGCCACCGTCCTGACGTCAGGACAGTGTTCAAATCTGGATCAGTTTTTATCAGATCCGTTGCAGCCCCTTTTTTAGAGATTTGGGTATGGAGGAAAATAGAGAGGGTTGTGTTTTCTGACACTTGGTGAGTTCCCTGGAACACCGGGGACACATATTCATGGGGGGGGGGGGACTTTTTTTTTCCTTTCAAATGGGGGGTCTGACAGAAAAAGTTTGAGAACCACTGCCCTAACCCGTGATGTTGTTCGTGTATGATCCCTCTTTCATTTAAAAACCAAGTTATGTTTTAAGCATGAAAGCTGCAGGCCTCTAGCTGTCAACGGTTCAAACTGTGATCACCAGTTCAATACATTTGACAAATTCGACTTGGTTTCTATAATTATTTTAACATGTATTTATTTAAAAAAATTCAAAAAATGTTTTTTCTCTTTGAAAACATTTTTCCCCCAAAAATGTTTTCTATAGGATATGTACATTTCGGTTAATCGGTTAACCGTTTTTTTGGGGGTCGAATATACATTTGCTTTCAAATTCCCATCCCTAATTTAAACCTTTATTAACTAACAGTATAGTTACTAGGAGTAATCAGTCTTTAAGGCAGTTTAACAACACCTCTATTCCACATGACACTTGTTTACTTGTTCATATTTTTACTTTTATGTCTGTGAAATCCAAAGGCCAATGAAATAGGGCCGTATCTCCATATATCTGAGGCAGTTTACAACATTAATTGACATTTGAATGGCCTTCCTCAAGTAGCCCAGGGACTTTCCACTGAATGTGTCCCCGCTCAGAAGTCTCTCCTTGTCCTGATAAGCTGCTGATAAGCTTCAGTGTTTCCAGAGTCCCAGCCATCGTCCTGTTAAAGGGTTTAATATTAGTCATATCGAGAGGAAATGCTATCGTGTGTGCAAACTAGGGATGGGAATTTGAAAGCAAATGTATATTCGAATATTCGACCCCCAAAAAAATGGTTAACCAATCAACCGAAATGTACATACCCTATAAAAAAGAAAAGAAATGTGGGACATTTTATTTTATTTTGAAAAATAAATAAATAAATGCATGTTCAAATAAGTATTGAAACCAAGTCGAATTTGTCAGATGTATTGAACTGGTGATCACAGTTTGAACAGTTGACAGCTATAGGCCTACAGCTTTCATGCTTAAAACATAACTTGGTTTTTAAATGAAAGAGGGATCATCCACGAACAACAGAACGGGTTAGGGTAACGTA